GATTTTTTAGGAATTGGGCGGGAAGTTAAAATTTCAGGATTTTGTTTTTATATATAGTATAGAAGTATAAATTGTATTACACTATTTTATAATATTAGAATAGAATTTTAACGCAGAATTATTGTACGAATGGGAATGTAGAAATCAATATATTTTATTAGGAAGAGAGATTTTTTAGGAATTGGGCGGGAAGTTAAAATTTCAGGATTTTGTTTTTGTATATAGTATAGATTATGGATCATTTTTTATTTTCAGACAATTATTAATATTCATTTCGTTTTTTAATTAACCTAAGTTTTGTTCATTTTTCTATCTTTAATTTTCTGTCAATTATTAATATTCATTTCTTTTTCCAATTTACCTAATTTTCATTCCATTTTTAATTAATGATGTAGAATATTATTGTGAAATATTTTTGTTCCTTTTTTTTCATCCTTTTTTTATTTTTTTTTTATTAATTTACCTCTATTATTTACTATTGTTTGGGCGGGAAATCAAGTAAATAGAATTTTGTTTTTAATTATAGTATTGATTTTTTTTCTTTTTCTATTGTTTGAGCGGGGAAGTAAGGAATGAGGATTTTGTTTTTAATAATAGTATAGATATATTGATAATCATTTCATATTTTCCTATTTAACGGATTATTATTAGTATTAATCAGAAAATTTCGTTTCTTTTTCTATTTTTACTGAATTAAAGATCCTTTTTTATTTTTCTATTTTACAACAAACTTTTAATTTTATTTATTATTATTAGTATTAATTAATCGGTGAATTTCGTTTCCTTTTCTATTTTTCGTAAATTAAGGATCTTTTTTTATTTTTTAAATTTTTTTGTAAGATTTTTTTTTGTACTGTTATCCTTATTATGACATTTTTTTAAACAACCTTTATTAGTTTCCTTATTTCATTTTCATTGAATTAAAAATCTTTTTTTTTTCAATTTTACTGATTATTATTAGTATTGATTAGTGAATTTCGTTTTTTTATTTTCATTTTTAGTGAATTAATGATCCTTTTTTATTTTCCTATTTTACTGCTAACTTCTTTACTGATTATTATTAGTATTAATTAATCAGTGAATTCCATTTCTTTTTTTTATTTTTCATGAATTAAGAATTTTTTTTTCTAATTTTTGGTAGGTTTTTTTTTTTTTTTTTTTTTTTTTTTTTTTTTTCACAACCTTCCATTTTTTTTTTCATTTTCATTGAATTAAGACTCCTTTTTTATTTTTTTATTTGACTGATTATTATTAGTAATAATTAGTAAATTCCGTTTATATTTTCATTTTTAGTGAATTAAGGATCTTTTTTTATTTTCCTATTTTACAATAAATTTTTTTTTAGTAATTATTGTTAGTATTAATTGACCAGTGAATTTCGTTTCCTTTTCAATTTTTTGTGAATTAAGGATTTTTTCTATTTTACTACGAACTTTTTTACTACTTATTATAAATATTATTAATTGGTAATGTTTTCTCCTTTTTTATTGTTTGGGTGGGAAAGTAAGAAATGATGATTTTGTTTTTAATAATAGTATAGATTTTTAGTGAATTAAGGATTCTTTTTTATTTTCCTATTTTTACTGCTAACCTTTTTACGGATTATTATTAGTATTACTTAATCAGTGAATTTCGATTCTTTTTCCATTTTTCATGAATTAAGAATCTTTTTTATTTTTCTAATTTTTGATAGGATTTTTTTACTGTTATTCTTATTATGATTTTTTTTCACAATCTTCTATTTTTTTTCCTTTTCATTGAATTAAGACTCCTTTTTTATTTTCCTATTTTACTGATTATTATTATTAGTAATAATCAGTAAATTCCGTTTATATTTTCATTTTTAGTGAATTAATGGTCTTTTTTTCATTTTCCTATTTTACTACAAACTATTTTTACTGACTATTGTTAGTATTAATTAATTAATTAGTGAATTCCGTTTCCTTTTCTATTTTTCGTGAATTAAGGATCTTTTTTTTTTCTATTTTACTACTAATGTTTTTACTAATTATTATTAGTATTATTAATTGGTAATTTTTTTCTCTTTTTTATTGTTTGGCCAGGCTAGTAAGAAAGAAGGATTTTGTTTTTAATAATAGTATAGATTTATACTTTAAAAATTACAATTAGAAATTTAAAATGTAGAATTCAAATTTTGTATGATTAGTATAGTGCATAAGTGTATGTATGTATTTAAAATTTTTTATAAATGTTTATATTTTGTTAATTTCATAATTTCATTTTCTTTAATTATATTTCATATTTTATTAATTATAATTTAATGAAATTGCCACAAATATTTTCACGGAAGAAATCTTATATTTCTCAATTTCATTAGTTATATTAATTATAATTACCAAATATTGTGGTAATTACCATAATAATTTCATTAATTATATTAATTATAATACTTGTTCTCTTTCAATATTTAAATACATTACCATGGTAATTACACGAAAGAAGGAAAGGAAAATTATTAGAATAATTACCATTAATAAAAATTAGGAAATTATATTCAAAATTAATTATATATTAAAGTAATAATAATTTATTTTGTGCCAATAATATTATATATTAAGTATAAAAATATATATGTATATAGATTACCATAATAATTACACCGAAAAAGATAACAATACATAATTATTAGGCAATAATATTAATAATTAATTATTAAGGCAAGTATAATTTATTTTGTACTAATAATATTATACATTAAGTGTATACACACACACACACACACACACACACACACACACACACACACACACACAATAAGTGTATATTATATTAATTATAATTATAATATTTGTACATCCTTTATATAATAAAGCTATATGGTTCGGGAAATAATTAATGCTACAATTAATGTCACAACATCTTTTATTATATAAAAAAAAAAAAACAACATTTTAAAAATAAAATAGCTATATATTATATAATCACATAAAAAATATACTTTTGAAAAATAAAATAGCTATATATTATATAATCATATAAAAAATGTGTTCAATTAGAGTTTAAATTTACACATACAAAATGCTTTCCAAATGTAATTATCTTAGTTATTATTCGTATTGTGGAAATTATAATATAGATGAAATACAATTAAGAATAAATCAATGTAATTATCTAAATTCTCTCTATAAGTTTATTTGAATATGCACATAATTAGATACTATATTAACCATACAAAATTATAATTTCAATTTTAATTGTAATTTTTTATACTATAAAAATAATAAATACTTGACCAATGGAAGCTCAAAAATATTATTATATTAAATAATTTAAAATATTTTAGTTTTTCTATTTTTTATTTATATTTATAATAACATAATTTTTTCCCGTGCATCGCCCAGGTGAATTACTAGTTTTGTACTAATAATATTATACATTATTTTGTACTAATAATATTATACATTATTTGTTAGTTCAAATACGTGATTTAGTCCTCAATCTCTATCTTTAACTTCTGTGTTTTTGGTGTTGAAACCAGGCTTCGGTTTCGTTTTTCGTATACATCTTGTAATTATCTCAGAGGAATAAAGAGAGAGAGAGAAAAAAAGAAAGAATCACCGCTTCGTTGCCTGTGAGGAGAAGAAGAGTTTGATTTTTGAAAAGTAAAACACCGGCTCTTCCTTGCTACCGGAAAATTAAGAAATCATCTTTGTAGTCAATTTTACCACGGTCTCCATCAACGCCCAATCTGTTGGATCCATTAGCACTAAAAACACTTCAAGCTACAATTGCAAAATAATAATAATAACAACAACAACAACAATAATAATAGTAATAATAATAATAATAATAATAATAATAATAATAATAATAATAATAATAATAATAATAATAATAATAATAATAATAATAACAATAATCATCATCATCATCATCATCATCTTGAAAATTGTAAAAAAAATACTTACGTTTTCATGAGTGCAACACCAAGATATGATTCCACAGAGAGAACATGAAGAAGAGCGAAACAGTGCAAAAGGAAAAATTATGATTTCCAAACTCACCAATCCATTGTATTTATAGGTAGAAAATATGAGAATTATAAACTTGTATAATTTTTCAAAAAGGAAAAGTGTAATTATGTAATATTACCAATTAATAAATTTTAATTAATTTCCATTTTACATTTTCTTACCAAATAAGTTTTACTACAAAAGTTTGAGCGGGAAAATGAAATAGGAGGGTTTTGTTTATATATATATATATATATATATATATATATATATATATATATATATATATATATATATATATATATATATATATATAGATATTGGATCCAATGAGACCCATAATTTGATGAAATGGTGAAACGTCATCTGATTCGTTTATTTTTAGTTTTTAACGGTTCAGATATTTTGTATTTGGATCTCATGTGCTGATGAGTTTTAAAGGAGCTAGGGTCATTGTAGTCTTTTGTCTCCATATTTATTTCTTTCCCTTAATTATTGTCGCGTGTGTGTATGATGTTGGGCGTTATTTTTGGGATCAAATCAATATCAATATTATTTCGATTTCACTGCCGTGACTCTTCACCTCGCCAACGTCCCATCAGTTCCTCTCATGTCAGTGTTCTCCATCGCTGCGACGCAAGGTTTTAGGCAGGCTCTTCTGTTTTTGGCGAGCGCACTCCTCTCCGATTTCAGTCTGACGGTGGAAACGGCTAAGGAAAACGGCGTCCATGGGTGTGCAGTAAGGTATCTTCTTTTCTGATGACCTTTTCCCGTTCGATATTCCGATTCTCGTTTTTTTTTTCTTGGGTATTATGTTGGGTTGTTTTTGTGCGATTGGGGGAGGGGGGTAGTGTCAGAAGTGTTGGGGGTTGTTTACTGTTGGATTCTGGTGGGTTAATAGGGGGGTTCCGGCGGGACCGGGGGAGGGGGTACTGTGTAGTTTTGGGGGTTGTCGGCTTTTGTGGGGGGTTTTTTTTTTTTTTTTTCTTGTTCTAGGTAACTATGAGATTTTTTTTAAATGCTTTTCCATTGGTTTCACCAACCTCGCTTTACACACGTAAGAATCTTTCAGTTTGTCAGGCAAAGATTTCCACAACTCCAATTTTTTCCCACTTAAAGAATTATGCATAGTTTATTTTTCCATTTGCTTATCCTTCATAGTGCAATTTGATATCCAGCTCCTCCAGAGTCTCAAGGCTACCTGCTGGTTCATGCAAATGGTGGACTTAATCAGATGAGGGCAGGGGTTTGTATTCTTTTCTCTCTGATTTATTTTGCATTAGAGTTATTCAATACAATTCCAAGCCAAGATAAGATAGCTCGCATTTGTTGAAGTAGATAAAGAGTTTTTGATGACATGAGCAGATATATTTGAAGTATCGATGAGTGCGTTGGTGTGGGGAAGTGTGTGCGCTTGTTGGTCATATTTGAACGTTGGGATTCAATAATGTTGGTTTTGTTTAAGTATCCGGAATATATTTTTTTTTTATTTTTATTTTTTATTTTTGTGTATGTAAGGTAGTTTTAATCATCATTGGCTTTTCATGTTTTCATTTATTATAATATTGTAGATCATATTGTAATGCAATTAGTTTGTGTGTTCTTGGGGTGATGTTTGTGCGTAATTCTGTAATTGCTAATTGGTTGGTGCATTCTAAGTAATTTGCTAGTGCGTAATATTGGGCTGGTGGGATCCCGATTTTGGTTTGTGCACTGTGTGTGGGGGGGGGGGGGGGGAGCGGGTGCTTAGGAGTATGATAATTATTTTTACTATTTTGTGGTAACTTTTGTTGGTAACTATGCATTAATTTCGGTATGACTAGGTGTCATGGCTGTAGAGACGGTAGATGCGGTAGAGGCTGTACATTTGATGCCGTCCAAGGATGTTGAAGCACCCCCTGTTCCGCAACCAGACACGGATTCTGATAGCTCGAATGATGGGCTAGATGCGGATGATTAGATAATTGTAATTCTATTAATGAGATATTTGAAAAATTGTTGTTATTTTTTTGAATGCTTGAATTCATATATTTTATTTTATTGTATTTTTATAAACTTAGTATTCACCTTCTAATTCGTATACTATTCATCGAATCCACCTTAACTTATATTGAATTACATCTGTATATTCCACATTACATATTGTGTAGAATATGGGAGTAGAAATTAGTGTGTGAGTTCTTGGGGTGAGGTTTGTGCGTTATACTGTAAATACACAAACGCACACGCTGGCGTGAACAAACCCATTATAATACTAATGCCCATGATGCACACTCCGTCGTAAACAAACGCACACACCATAATTCATGAACTAACTAAATAACACCCATACAATCTAATTCATACAAAATGAGCACACAATTTCATCCAGGTTTGTGCGTTATACTGTAATACACGAACGCACACGCCGACGTGAACAAAGCCATTATAATACTAATGCCCATGATGCACACTCTGTCGTAAACAAACGTACACACCAGAATTCATGCACTAACCAAATAACACCCATACAGTCTAATTCATACAAAATGAGCACACAATTTCATCTAGGTTTGTGCGTTATACTGTAATACACAAACGCACACGCCGGCGTGAACAAACCCATAATAATACTAATGCTCATGATGCACACTCCGTCGTAAACAAACGCACACACCAGAATTCATGCACTAACCAAATAACACCCATACAGTCTAATTCATACAAAATGAGCACACAATTTCCTTTCACGCACACGCCATAGGACCTAGATGCACAGACCAACGTACAAAGTTAATTACATACTTAAGTCAGCAACTCTCATAATACAATTACAATTACTAATGCACAGACTAACGTACAAAGTTAAACTCCTACAGACATTGTCTAGAATTGTCTACAACTTATTTCCATAATATTTGTAATATTTGATTATGGCAAAGATTCCAATCTAATTCTAACCAAAATTAACACATTAATACAATTACTTTTAAACCCCCTATTTAAAATATGCCCTTATTTACATTATATTCATCATTCAATCTCATCCATCCATTACAAATTTATAAATGGATGGGATCTCATCTCACTATCTCATTTAATAAGGGGGTCTCATGGGATCTGCACTATATATATATATATATATATATATATATATATATATATATATATGTATGTATGTATGTATGTATGTATGTATGTACATACGTACATACGTACGTGGTCTCTAATCTCCAGATGATTAGTCTTGTTTTCACTTGCCATTTGGATGACACCATGGTTATTGGCTAGTTCACAGGACTGATGACACCGTGGTTAATTATATTGTGCATCAGGATGCACAATGCATTATACGCCATGGCGCAAAACGACGTTGTTTTGTATCTATTTTTTAAAAATTTCATTTCCCGTTTCTGCTGTTAACTCCTAAAAAAATTCATGTTTCGAATGTACATAATTGTATAATAGAATACACATAAACCCCTAACATAATACTCATCATCTTTTTTGAAAGGATAATACACATAATCTAACATAATACATAATATACATAAACTCTAACTCCTTAAAAAAAAATCTCCTATTACGAATGTACATAATTGTATAATAGAGTGTACATAATTGTATAATAAAATACACATAAACTCCTAACATAATACACATAAACTCTTAACATAATACACATAAATTCTTAACTCTTAACATAATACACATAAACTCTTAACTCTTAACATAATACACATAAAACGGTCTCCATCGCGTCAACTTCCTACCCAACTTTACAAAATGACGTCGTTTTGGGCAGGGCGGGATTGAATATTCTCACACGCATCAACTTCCTACCCAACTTTACAAAATGACGGCGTTTTGGGCAGGACGGGATTGAATATTCTCACACTTTGAAAGTGAACTCTACCCTAAGAGCCCGATAGAGCATTTGATCTCTTCCACTTTGGACATAAAACCCCACACTACCGCCGCCGAGATTCGAACCTTGGTCTCTTCTCCCATACTGTCTGCCAGAATAAGTTGGTAAAGACCTTATCTCTGTCTGACACAATGTCCTTGGGAAGTCCATGCAGTTTGTATATGTTTTCCATGAATGTCTCAGCTATACTTTCAGCAGTGTAAGGGTGAGCTATTGCCAGAAAGTGACTGTACTTAGTCAGTCTATCTACCACCACCAGAATTGCTTCTTTGCTATGGGATTTGGGCAGCCCCTCCATGAAATCCATGGATATGCTGTTCCATGCCTCCTCTGGAATGGCAAAGGGTTGCAGGAGTCCAGGGCTTGCTACATTTTCAGTTTTGCACCTTTGGCAAACATCACAACCTTTGACCATTTTAGTGACATCTTTTTTCATTCCCTTCCACCAGAAAATCTGTTTCATCCTTTGGTAGGTTCCCTGTTAGCCAGAGTGCCCTCCTAGGGCTGATTTATGCAATTGTAACATCAGCCTTCTTCTAAGGTCCCCAGTAGAACCTATATAAATCCTCTACTTATACCTCAATATCCCTCTTGCAACAGTCACATCTGCTACTGCATTAGGGTCTATTAGGCAAGCTGCCAGTGTCTTAGTGGCCCATGAATCATTTTCATAGCTTCCCATGACTTCCTCCATCCACTAGGGCTACACTACAGATATGGAATGTGCCTCAGCTCCAGTTTCCCCCATCTGTCTAGACAATGCATCGGCCACACAGTTCTTAGTTCCCTTATTGTACCTAATAGAGTAGTCCATGCCTAATAGTTTGGTTAGTCCTCTTTGTTGCATAACAGTAGTGATTTTCTGTTCCAACAAGTACTTTAGACTGTGGTGGTCAGTCATGATTGTAAAATGTCTTCCCAACAGGTAAGGCCTCCATTTCTCAATGGCATTAATGATTGATAAATACTCTTTCTCATAGATGGACATGCCAAGATGTTCCTCACCAAAGACCTTGTTAAAGTAGGCAATTGGCCTCCCTTCCTGCAACAGCACAACACCCATTCCCCTAAAGCTAGCATCTGCTTCTACCACAAATTCTTTCTGAAAATTAGGTAAGGCCAATAGTGGTACACTACACAGTGCCTGTTTCAGAAGTTCAAAAGCCTTATCAGCCTCATCATTCCAAGTAAAGGCATTTTTCTTGAGTAAATTAGTCAATGGTTTACTGATGATTCCATAGGATTTTATAAATCTCCTATAATAACTTGCCAATCCCAAGAACCCTTTTAGTGCCTTAACAGATGTAGGTCTGGGCCAAGCAGAAACAACTTCCAATTTTGTAGGGTCAGTCTTCAGCCCTTCTTTTGAAATAATGTGGCCCAGGTACTCTACTTGGGTTTGGCCAAATGAACACTTGCTTAATTTAGCCAACAACTGGTGGGATTTCATGATCTGTAATACTTCCCTCAAATGTTGCCAATGGTCTTCCCAGGTGGCACTGTAAACCAAAATGTCATCAAAGAAAACCAGGACTGATTTTCTTAGCAAAGGCTGGAAAACCTGATTCATCAAGGCCTGAAAGGTGGCTGGTGCATTGGTCAAGACAAATGGCATTACCTTGAACTCATAGAGTTCCTGATGAGTTCTATAAGCTGTTTTATACTCTTCTCCTTGCCTCATTCTAACCTGGTGGTATCCTGATCTTAAATCGAGTTTAGAAAAACAGCCTGCCCCAGCTAACTCTGAAAACAAATCCTCCACCAGTGGGATAGGGAATTTGTTCTTGATGGTCAGGTTGTTGAGAGCCCTATAATCTATGCAGAATTTCCAAATGTTGTCCTTTTTTGGGACCAAGAGAACAGGTGAGGCAAAACTTGATGAGTTAGGAGTGATTACACCAGCATTCAACGTTTCATTTACCATTTTTTCTATTGCATTCTTCTGGTCATAGGAGTACCTGTAGGGCCCAACATTGACAGGTTTTACTCCTGGGATTAAGGGAATGGAGTGGTCAAGAGCTCTTGATGGGGGAAGGGCTATGGGTTCTGCAAAGACTTCCTGGAATTCTTGTGTATGAGGGTAAGTTTTGGATGTAGGGTCTGGTTAGGTAGTGAATTTAGCTGGGGATGTATGGTGTTTATGGCTGATGGTTCACACTGCACCAAAAACCCTTTAACTCCCCTCTTCTGCCACTTCTGCACTTGCTTATCAGTAGGTGCACTTAACACAATTGTCTTAGTTAAACCCTTCAAGCAAATTTTCCTCCCCTCTTTGTAGAATGAGAGGCTAGGGCGTCTGGTATGCAACTGTATAGGGGCATACTGGTCCACCCAGTCCATTCCCAACACCATGTCACACCCTCCTAACCTTAGCAGCTTGAAGTCCCTTGTGAATTCCTCTCCTTGGATCTCCCAACTTAACCCCAGACAAACTTCATCACACCTCACTTGCTCACCATTAGCCACAGTTACTGTTAGTGGGGGGGGGGGGGTGCTTTCACAGGTTTCCTTCTCAATTGACAAAGCAATTTAGGGTCCAGGAAACTGTGAGTACTTCCACTGTCCACCAATATGACCACTTGTTGCCTTTGTACAAACCCTAATAATTTGATTGTGTTCATTCCCTCCCCTCCCGCCACAGCACAGAGGGAGACCTCAGCTTCTGTATTGTATGTCTCCTTTTCTGTTTGTTCTAGTAAGTCTTGTGTCTCATAGCCCTCATCCTCTTCTATTAAGTGAAAGGTAGGACCCTTGCATTTGTGTCCTGACTGCCAATTTTCAAAGCACTTAAAGCATCTTCTCTGCTCTCTCAGCTGTGCTTTAAACTTAGACATATCTGGTGCAGGTGAGTTTGAGGATTGGGTTGAAAGGGTGGTCTTATGGCTATGGAGTGAAGAGGTTGGTTCAACAGGGTGAGTGGGGTAAGTTTTGGGTGGTGGAGGTGATCTAGGGTTCTATGTGCTTTATCTTCTAGGCTCATTGACCTTAAGACTTTTATCAAATTGTTTGGCATACCAGATGGCATCCCCCAAGGTGTCTGGCTTGGCTGTTCTTACAAAGCACCTGAGATTGGGTTTCAGTCTGGCTATAAAATTCTCCTTGAAATAAGCCTCATTCAAACAAGGATGCCCCAACAGCAGTTGGCTCCTGAATTCCTCCTATTTCTCAGTAAAGTCCTCAACAGAACCCCATTGTTTTAAGGCTGTAAATTCCTCTATCAAGGACCCTCACTCCCCTCAAATCGTTTGCAGATTGCTTCTGCAAAATGGTGCCACTGAAATCCCTGTCCTAGTTCCCTCACATAACCTTCATACCAGATCTCCACTTTCCCAGATAAATTCACAAAGAGTAAGTTCATAATTTCGTTCCTAGGAATGTGAGAAAACATAAAGAATCTATCACATCGACCAATCCAATTCCTAGGGTGTTCATAATCGAATGCAGGGAAGTCAGCCAAGAAATCCACTTGTTGGCGTTGTCCTTCCAGTCCCAACCTTCTTGGAGTTCCCTTCAAGCACTTCGACCGGATCCTCCTCCAAAGTTGGATCGGCTGGTGCCTTGTCAGCTCGTCCGCCTGGGTCCCTACTGGAGTCCCCCGGAATGGGTGGTGGCGCAGGACCTTCCTGGGCGACGCCCTGCACCGAGGACTGGCCTGGTGATCTCTCCATCAATGGTGGGGCTGGCCTATTCAGTCTTAGAATGGTCAGGATCTCTTCTCTGAAACTGCCCAACTGCTCATTCAGTTGTTCAGTGGAAGCCTGAGATTGAGCTGCGACCAATCCCTTGAGCTCAGCCATCTGTGTTTCCATCCTTCGCATCCGATCCTCCATGATCACGGGCTCTGATACCAAATGTAATGGACTTCACAGTTTGATAGAAAAAAAATGTAGCAGCGAAGAAGGGAAAGAATTGGGGATTAGGGTTTGAGAAGAAAGAGGGAAAGGAAATAGAATTTTACTCCAAAATCAACATAACATTAGTTGTTCTCCTCAGGCTAGTATATAGTGCACACTGCACTCCACTACTCCATCAATTACACAACTACTCTAACAAACTAGAAGGAAAACAAAATGGAAATAATCAGCTAAGCAGCCTAAAGGCAATACGACGTCGTTGGATAGTCTGTACGTAACAACCAACCAACGCGCACGGAACGACGTCGTCCGATGGACCTCAACCACTTCCAACTACCAGTGATCCTACGACGTCGTTTTGTGTCTGATTCTGCATTCCAGAATCAGGTTTCTCTTCCACTTATTTCTTTTTACTTTGCTCAATCCTTTCCTGCTTCTTCTTATCCCTTTTACCCCCCATGGCTGTTAAAGATTATTGAAGAGGCTGCTCATTAATTATCAAGATTCTGCAGTGTTTTTCCAGTAAGCTTTAATGATGCTTTTGAGTGTGGTAAAATTGAAGGTAGAAAATTAGTATTCTTTCAATAACAGAAACAAAGAATTATTGGAAATACATCAGTAGAAATGAGAATAGAAAACATTAATAATTTTGCTTTATTTTTGTGTTTTTTTTTCTATCACAGCATGCTATCAGCTCGAGCTGGCAGTCTCCGGATGAAATTGATGGGTGCCGAAGGCAACTTGCTCCTGAATTTCATTCTGCTTCTACTTCTGAACCACTCAAACTTCCTAAGGTTATCTTTTTGTTATTAAGAAATGATGAAGTTCATTCGCACTTCACTTTCAACCCAACATCCATTATTATTTTACATATTAAGGTTTGTGAGACTTATAAACAACTAACGTTTGAACTCAAAATATATTCGTGAATTAATATATATATATATATATATATATATATATATATATGTATGTATATATATATATATATATATGCAGTGTGAAGAAAGCCATGCGGGTTCGACTTCAGGAGCTCAGCAAGATTGTGCAAAAACTCTTGATCGTAAGGTGATCGTTTGACTACATATCGAGACCTGTGAGTGTAGAGGAGGTCCGCAAAGTGGTTTTCGCAATGCATCCTGACAAGTCCCCAGGGGCGGATGGCTTTGGGCCGGGGTTCTACCAGCATTTCTGTTCTACTGTAGGTGGGGAGGTGACTCGGTTCTGCCGACAGTTTATGGATACAGCAAAACTGCCGCCGAAAGCAAATGAAACTTTCATAGTATTGATCCCAAAGAAGCCAGTGCCAGATTCGATGAAGGATTTACGCCCTATCGCTTTGTGCAACGTTTTATACAAGATAGCGGCAAAGGTTTGTGCGAACAGGCTAAAACCTTTGCTGGACAAGGTTATATCGAGAACACAAAGTGCGTTTGTGCCCAGGAGGTTGATTACAGATAATATAATGCTAGCATACGAAACACATCATTACTTGAAGCGGAAAACACAAGGGCGGGATGGGGTGGCGACCCTAAAGATAGACATGAGCAAGGCATACGATAGGGTCGAATGGCGTTTTTTGCGGGCGGCGATGTTGAAGTTAGGCTTTAGTAATAAATGGGTGGACATTATAATGGAGACAGTATGTGGTGTGCAGTACCATATACTATATGAGCAGAGATAGTTAGGGCCCATTGTACCGGGACGGGGTCTACGACAAGGAGAGCCGTTATCGCCATACCTGTTTCTAATGGTGGTGGAGGGGTTGAGTGCTTTAATAGACAACCGTATGGGGCGGGGATTGTTGCATGGGGTCCGTTTAGCTAGGGGCACCGCCAATCTCCCATCTTCTGTTCGCGGATGCTTGTTTCATCATTTTACGTGCTAACACGGAGGAAAGTACAAACATGAAAGGGATCCGGGATTTGTATGCAGGGGCTTTAGTCCAGCTGGTCAACTATGATAAGTCTCTTGTGTGTTTCAGTAACAATACTGATCAAGCTAGTAGGACTGCAGTGGTAAATGTTCTTGGCGTGAACCAGGGGATACCTCGGGGAGGTATCTAGGGTTGCCTTCGTTAGTAGGGAGGAGCAAGAAGGCTGATGGATATATTGGACTCGGAACGAACCGACCCGGAGAGACGGACCCAAGTCGCCGCGCCCCAAAATGCTTCAGCCCAACCCCTTGGGCCGTGGTAGGGTCGGCCCAAGCAGCTCGGCTATGGGCCGAGCCCAGCCACTGACGAGCCCGGCAGACCCGAGCTCGTCACCATGGACCTCGGCTACTGCCGGGTCGGTCCATGGTGGACTCGGCTAGGCCGAACTCGGTACATAACCAGCTCGGCCATGTCGAGTCGCCTTGCTTTGGACACGGTCCCGGAGGGGACGCGGTTAAAGCGGGCCGATCTAACCACCCCCGGTTTTGGGGGTGCGGTTGGGGGTTTTGGTTGATATAAAAGCCCCCATCTTGTCCTAACAAGGACACTTCATTCCTAAACTACTACTTTATAGCTATTATTATCCTAATCAAACCTTGTAATAGCTTATTAGCGGTATTTAATACAATTGACGGTCCCTGCGACCTTACGATATTCTTGCGTTACATTTATTTATTCCATATTACGTTCTTATCCGGGTTTAATAATTCGGGCCACCCCGGGTGAATTAAATCCATCATTGGTGCTCTTGTTGAGAGCTGCTGTACCAGCTCAAGCGTGTTCAATATTCAGTCGTCTATCGCGACCAGCTACCATGACAAGATCGAGATCCAACTCTCGCCACTCCAACGGTTCCCGCGGCACTCAGCTCGTCGCAACCGGGAACGGCCCCAACGGGGCCCCCAGCATCCAACCGGCCGCCTCCGCCAGGTCGGGGGTAGATCTGAGGTATCAGCTCACCAACCACAGTAGCGGTGGTGCACCACCCCTTGCCGCCCCCGCTCCAGCTCGCGCTTTCCTCCAGGAGGGGTTGGCGGTCTCCGAACAAGCCTCCACAGCGCTGGCACGTGTCGCGACGGGCCTCCGAGCAGAGGAACAAGCCGACCTGGGTGCCACCTGAGGGGCGCTGGCGCCACCTCCACCTCCACCTCTCTACAGGGGGCGCAGCGGGCCGAGCACCCGGCCACCCCAGGCACACGCCACACAGGGGGAAGAGACCGTCAGCACGGCGACGATGGAAGGGCACCAACCCAAACTAAGCCCGCCCTGGAGAGGTTGGGCGATCGTGTGTCGGCTCGGGACAGGCTGAGTTCGAGGCCAGCCGCCAATGAGCTACCAGCGGCAGAATCGTGCTCCCGTAGGCCGCCACGGCAAGCATCGGGCACCCGGAGGTCGCTAAGCCACGGACCCCGAGCCCGGCCGCAACAAGAGGTGGGCTCGCGTAGGTCACCAGATCGTGGGACCCGAGCTCCACCATGGCACGGGCAGGCCTCCCGGGTAGAACGAACAGGGGAGACGAATGGTAGAGTACCGAGCTCCCATCGGGACGAGGTCAAACAGCTACGGAGGAGGATGAACGAGCTCTAGAAGAAGATCGACGAGAGAGACGGGTCCCCGAGCCCCAAGATGTACTGTCCACCCCGTTCGTGGGTGCTATCATGGAGGAACCCTTGCCCAAGAATTTCCGTTTCCCCACCATCAAGGCGTACTCGGGGACCACAGACCCGCGATCCCACCTCACTAGGTCCAGGGCCGCCATGATGAACACCGGGGCTACCGACGCCATCCTATGCAGGGGGTTCTTTGCCACTCTGGACGGACAGGCACATGACTGGTTCGGGTTCCTCCGGTGGGGGGGGGGGGTCCATCTCTACCTTCACGAACCTCACTAAACCTCGGGGAGGTGACACAAGTTCCACGTGAGAAGAAGTTGAAGAGGGAACCCATCACCTTCAGCGATGACGACCTGCCAGACGGTCCCCTCCCCCACTGGGATGCCTTGGTGATCAAGCTGGACGTCAACAACGTGGTGGTACACCAGGTGCTCGTAGACATGAGCAGATCGGTAAATGTCATATACTACGACACATTCACCCAGCTCGGCCTCCCTAGAGACCAGCTGGAGCAGGTTAGGACCCCCTTGTCCGGGTTCACGGGGGACTCGATCGAGACGGAGGGATCGATTAGCTTGGAAGTGGAGATAGGCACCTCGCCCCACCTCAAGAAGTGGAAAGTCGAGTTCGTGGTTGTAAAAATCAGTTGCGCCCACAACATGATACTCGGCCGACCTACCCTGAAGAACCTCAGGTGCGTGATTTCCATGGAGCACCTGTGCCTCAAGTTTCCAACACCAATCGGGGTCGGGACCGCTCGAGGGAACTAGAGAGTGAGTCGCAGCTGCTACCTACGAGCATATCGCCAGATGGGCAAGAAGGACCTCCGGGTCCACACCATAGCCGAGAAAGCATTACGAGGGGAGGTAGGTCGGCCCCGAGCCGAGCCCATAGTCGAGTCGGAGGAAGTCGTCTTGGATCTCAGCCGCCCCGATCGGGTCGTTAAGGTAGGGGTTGGCCTCCCGGATGAGCTCCGAGCTCGCATTATCGACACGATTCGAAGTTACAAGGAGATCTTCACATGGGGCCTCAGCCGCGAGGTGATCACACACAAACTGGCCGTGGACGCGGGGTCAAGCCAGTCCAACAACGCAAGTGGTAACTCTCCGCCGACAGGAGAGAGTTCGTGAAGAAAGAGGTCGACACCCTCTTGGAGATAGGTCATATCAGGGAGGTCCTATACCCCACCTGGTTAGCAAACGTGGTCTTCGCCCCAAAGCCGCCCACCTGGTGGATGTGCGTGGACTACACTGACCTCAACAAGGCCTGTCCTATGGACCCCTTCCCACTCCCCAACATCGACCAGCTGGTGGATGAGACAGCAGGTTGTGCCCTCATGAGCTTCCTAAACACGTTCAGAGGGTACCACCATATCTTCATGGAGGAGGCCGACGAGGAGAAGATAGCTTTCACCACCCCGGAAGGGGTCTACTGTTACAAGGTCATGGCCTTTGGGCTGAAAAATTCAGGTGCCACCTACACCCGAATGGTAACCAAGGTGTTCAAACAAGTCCTCGGTCGCAACCTGCAGGCTTATGTCGACGACATGATCGTGAAGAGCACCGAAGCCAACCTGCATACAGACGACCTAGCTGAGGTATTTTCAATTATGCAGCGTTTCGATTTGCAACTGAACCCCAAGAAGTGCACTTTTGAGGTCCACGGGGGGAAGTTCTTGGGGTACATGGTTTCCAAGAAGGGCATAGAGCTCAACCCCGACAAAGTTAAAGCTATCCTGGACATGGAGCCCCCAAGGTGTCTCCGGGAAGTCCAACGCCTTAATGGGCGGCTAGCAGCCCTCGGTCGTTTCCTCTCGAGATCGGCCGAAAGATCTCTACCATTTTTTGGAGTACTCAAGAAGACCAAGGGGTTCGAGTGGTCCTAGGAGTGCCAAAGGGCTTTCGAGGACCTCAAAACGTATCTGATGTCGCTCCCCCCTAGCCAAGCCCGTTAAGGGGGAGGTCTTATATTTGTACCTCGATATCTCCCAGGCTGCGGTCAGTTCCGTGCTGGTCCGGGACGATGACGGGGTCCAACGGCCCGTGTACTACACGAGCCGAGCTCTACAGCGGGCGGAAATCAGGTACACACCTGTAGAGAAGGCCCTCTTTGCAGTAGACATCATCACAAAGAAGCTCAGCCACTACTTCCAGGCCCACCCCGTTCACGTCCTCACCAACCAGCCCCTAGATGCGGTACTGAGGGCCTCGGGGTCGGCCAGCAGGTTGGTCAAGTGGGCCATGTGGCTAAGCCAGTACGACATCCAATTTCAAACTCGTCCAACCATCAAGGAGCATGCACTAGCCGACTTCATAGTCGAGTGCACCGCCCGGGAGGCCACCGAGCAGGCCCGAGACGAAGACGAGGAGTGGTTGACCCTTTCTATGGACGGAGCTTCGGGACCAAAAGGCTGCGGGGGAGGGGTTGTCCTCATCACACCCGAGGGGTTCAGAGCCTACTATGCCCTCCGTTTCGCCTTCAAGATATCGAACAACGACGCCGAGTACGAGACACTCCTC